GGGGGGTGGGCAGACCCTGTGGCAGTGGGTGCAGGTCCCTGGGACCCCACATTGCCCATGGGACCTGCAGGCTGCAGCTGAGTTCACCCAGCAGGGACTCGTCTGAATCCAGCATTTTGCCATCCCGTGTGTGACTGTAGAGGGAGCCCAACCCCAAACGTCAGCTCCCAGTGAAACCTCTGCTCCAGCCACTGATGGAGATGCTGAAAGCACCCAGGTTTCTCCCTCCTTGGGTGTGTCTCCATGGCTGGGGTGAGCAGGGGGCCCCATCCTTCCCAACCCGTCCTTCTCCACCGCCCTGGTGTGACTCACTTGTTCAGGGCTACCTCCAAAGCCTCCTTCTTGCTCCGGGCTTCTTGAATGCGGTGCCTCATCTTGGCCAGAAAGTCCTCCAGGTTGCCCAGGAGCTGGGGTTCGTCCTTCCGGAGCCTCACCCAGAGCTGCCAGATCTCCTGTCTGCAGGGAGAGGGGTGTTTTATGGTGAGTACCCCCCCCGAGCCCCCCAAAGCCAGGACAGCTATGGGATCCCAGGGCATTTAGCTCACACCGTACGGGACGCGTGGTCCTGGGGACAGATTAGCATTGGGGTGACCATGATCCTGTCCCCTGCTCCTGGGGCAAAGGCACCTCCAAACCATTTCTGGGTTCGCTGCCTGCATGGGGACCAAACGAGTGGAACACCCTGCCCTGCCCCAAGCCTTCCCCCCTAGGGCAGCTCTGCCCCATCCTGCAGGACACCCATGGGTGCTAAACAGGGTGGCTTACTCTTCAGAGACGTTGTCCGTGCCCAGCTGGTCCATGAAGGCAGCAAAGTGTCTCTGCTCCTCACTGTCCACCCCCTCCAACACTGGGCTGGGGACGACCAAGCGCACCCTCCGGGATGCCGTTTTCCGCCGGCGGTGCTCCCTGGCAGCTTTTTGGGAGCTCAGGAACTGCCCTGCCGACAGATACCCCAAACCCTCAGTGCCCAGCTGGGCAACAGCAAAGCCCAAACCCCAACGCATCCCACCCCGTGGCTTTGACAACCTCCTTCGACAGAATAGGACCCCTCACCAGCCGAGCCATGGGCTGAGACCCGGGTATGGGGACACTTTTTGGGCCATCACATACCACCCCAACAAGGGGAGCATTTCAGGTCCCCTCCTTGGAAAGGATCAGGGGCCATGTCCAGGATCAGCCCAGGCTGCTTAGCAGCAGCATGCTGGCACTTACACAGCCCGGCAGTGAACTCCTCGGTGCTTAACTGCCCGGTGCCAGCAGCATCCAGCCCATCAAAGACCAGCTCCAGCTCCTCCGTGCTGCAGGGGAAATCTCCCTCCTGCAATTTCTAAGAACAAAGCAAATCAGGGGAAAAACCTACCCCTCACCCAGTCTCAAGCCACCCCAATGTGCATTTATCCTGAGAAGACACCCCCATCCCTTACCTGCATATCTGAGCGGGTGACAAACCCTGCCTGGTCCTTGTCCCGCTCCCTGAAGAAGTCCTGCACCCTCTGCACTATTTTGGATGCCCACTGCACCTCCTCGCCGG